TCCGGTGCCGGTGCGGACGTGGGGACCCTGCCCGGTCCAGCTGCCCCGCTGCCTCCACAGTTGCAGCAGCAGCAGCAGCAGCAGTCGCCGCAGCCGCAGCCTCCGCAGCAGCCGCAGCAGCCGCCGCAGACGAGGCCGGCGAGTGCTCTCCCGCCTGGGTGGTCTGGAGCTGGTGGTGGTCGTGCGCGTGGTGGTGCACCAGGTGGTGGTTCTGGAGGCGGGCCCTGTCAGTACCAGATCCAGACCGGTCCTCGCCGCGGCTTCGTTTGCGGTAAGATCGGTCATTCCACTCCTCGCTGTTTTCGTCGTCTGGACGACCTGTTCCGTCAGCGCTTTGGCCCGGCGCCCGACCTCCCGGACTGGCACAGCTTGCTTAGGCGTAGCATTCGGATTTTTGACTTGGACATGGATGCCATTGTAGCAGCCTTGCATGTGATGTATGCCGCTGACTCTAGTGTGCTTCCCTCTTATTACCCCGTGTTGTCTAGTGTAGCTGTGCCTAGCGTAGACTCCCCTGCTGCGTCAGGCGTAGGATCTTCTGCTTTGCTTAGCCTAGGTGCTTCCACCGCTCCACTGTCGCCCCGCGCGACTGCTGCACTTTCCTTCACCTTGGACTCTGGCGCCTCCCGGTGTTTCTTCCGCGACTCCACGACGCTGACGCCGCTGCCTGTTCCCGCTGCGGTTACTCTTGCTGACCCCTCCGGTGGTCCCGTCGTTGCCCGCAGTTCCACCTCCCTTCCCTGTCCGGCGATTCCCTCAGGTTCGCTCACCGGTCTGCATATCCCCTCGTTCTCCAGGAACCTAGTTGGTGTCGGCTGCCTCCAGGACCTTGGCGTCACCACTACGTTCCCTGGTCACGAGCGGTATGCTGTCTGTACCGAGGCCGCCACTGGTGCCCCCCTTACCACTTTCCCCCGGGACCCGGTGTCCGGCCTGTTCACACTTGACACCGCGACGTCCCCGGCTGGGCCTTCCCCCCAGGTAGCTGCGTCCACCCAGGTTGCTGCTGCGTGCTCCTGTCGGTCCCTCACTCACCCGACTCTCCTTTGGCACCACCGCCTTGGTCACCCTGCACTCCCGCGTCTGCGTCACATGTCCCAGCACGCTCTCGTCCTTGGTCTCCCCGGTTCGTTCCCTGAGTTTCCCTCCTCCCCCGCCCCACCGTGCACGCCTTGTGTCGAGGGCCGGCTCCGCCGTGCCCCTCACTCCTCCTCTTTTCCCCCTACCACCGCACCACTGCAGACTCTGCACATGGACGTCTGGGGCCCAGCCCCGGTCCATGGGCCGCGTCGCGAGCGCTTCTTCCTAGTGCTTGTCGACGACTTCACGCGCTACACCACCGTCTTCCCCCTGGAGCGGAAGGCCAACGTGCCTGACGTTCTCATCCCCTGGCTTGTCTCTGCTCGTGTCCACCGCGGTCTCCCTGCCTTGCGCCTCCACTCCGACCGGGGTGGCGAGTTTGCCTCAGGTGTCCTTGGTCGCTTCTGTCGTGCGGAGGGCATCACTCAGACGTTTACCCTGCCGGACTCCCCGCAGCAGAATGGGGTCGCTGAGCGACGCATCGGTTTGGTCATGGAGGTGGCTCGCACCTCCATGATCCACGCCGGTGCACCCCATTTTCTGTGGCCGTTCGCCGTGCGCTACGCCGCTCACCAGCTTAACCTGTGGCCGCACCCCCAGCGGCCGCAGGTTTCGCCGACCCTTCTGTGGACCGGGTCCCCTGGTGACGCGTTTGCGTTCCACGTCTGGGGCTGCCTTGCTCACGTTCGTGCCTCTGGCACGGACAAGCTCACTGCCCGCACCCTCCCCTGCGTCTTCCTCGGTTTCCCCCTTGACGCGTCCGACTGGCACTTCTACCACCCGCCGTCTCACCGCTTCTTTCACTCTCGTGACGTCACCTTTGACGAGTCCGTCTCCTTCTACTGCCGCTTCCCCCACCGTGGTCCCCCGGTTACTCCCCCCCTGTTCCTGGTCCCTCCTTCCCCGGTCGTCCCTGCCCCTCCCCCCCCCCGCCCCCCCGTCCGGCCCCCTCTGGTGTGTCTCACGTCACCCCCCTCCCGTCGGTCTTCCCGGTCGACGAGTCTTCTGACTCTGGTAGTCCTCCGGCGCAGTCCTCGCCGTCTGTCCCTCCCCCGGTGTCTCCTCCTCCACCGCCTCCGCAGCCGCCGTCGCCGCAGCTGCTGCAGCCGTCGTCTCCACCGCCGCCGCCGTTGCAGCCGTCGTCTCCGCCGCCGCCGCCGTCGCGGCCGTCGCTGCAGCCGCCGCCGCCGTCGTCGCTGCCGCTGTTTGTGGACTCTGAGGGTGCTGGCGTTGAGGTGGGTACTAGTCCCGGGGCTCCTGTCGTGGCTTGTCCCGGTGGGCCTGGGGGTGGTACCGGTGCTGGCGGGGTTTCGGGCTCTGGGGGTGTCCCTTCTGGGGGTGCCGGTGTGGAGGGTTCGGGAGGTAGCCGTCGCGCAGCTTGTGGCCCTGGCGTTGGTGTTGCGTCGCCGCAGCAGCAGTCCCCGCCGGTGTCCGCCCTCCGTCTGCTCGGCCTTCCGTCCCCTGACCCTGCGCCTGTTCCTCTCCTGCCGTCTCCTCCTCTTCCCGTCTACGGCCCCGTGTTCCCTCCGCCGGACAAGTCCCCGGCTCGTTTTCCCTCTCGTTCCCCACCAGTGTCCCCTCCTCTGTCTCCTGACCCGACCCCCCCCTCTCACGTCTGGTCTCGCCACCCCTCCCGTGCTCGTCCTGTCTCCCCCGTCCCGCGCTCTCACCCTATGTTGCTCCGGTCCCACGCGTCTCGTCCTCCCCTCCTCCCGTCTCCTCCTCCGTCCTCTCTTGTCGTTGCGTCTCCTCCTCTGTCTGACTACTTTCGTGCCGCTCGTCCTCTTGTTCCTCGGGTCCTTGCCTCTCTGGTTACCGACCCGTCTGTTCCAGTGTCGAGTCTGGACGCCCTTGTCGCTGCGGTCGCTGACTTCGCCTCTACCCGCCGCCTTGACTACGCCACCGCTCTTGTCTCTGACCCTGCCTGTCCTCTGTCTGTCGGGGGTGCTCCTGCCCTCGGCAGTGACGTCCTGGAGGACCGCCAGTTCGAGCTTGCTTTCCTGTCCGAGGCTGCTCCCCATCTCTGTTCCATGCTGCTAGTCCCTGAGGGTGACCCAGACGCTTTCGACATCCCGACCCCTCGTACTTACGCTGAGGCGGTTTCGGGACCCTGGGCCTCTCAGTGGATAGCTGCCATGGAACAGGAGATGGCATCTTGGAGATCCACCGGCACCTTCGTCGACGCAGTTCCCCCACCTTGGGTGAACGTGGTCGATGGCCGTTGGCTCTTCAAGGTGAAGCGCCCTCCTGGAGAGCCGCCTGTGTTCAAGGCGCGCTACGTGGCTAGAGGCTTCAGTCAGCGCGAGGGGGTGGACTTCTTTCAGACTTTCGCTCCTACGCCGAAGATGACTACTCTTCGGGTTCTGTTACACGTAGCGGCTCAGCGTGACTACGAGCTTCACTCCCTCGACTTCTCCACTGCCTTCCTTCAGGGCAGCCTTCACGAGCAGGTCTACCTGCGTCGTCCTCAGGGCTTTACTGGCACCTTCCCCCCTGGGACCCAGTGGCTTCTGCGGCGGCCAGTCTACGGCCTGCGCCAGGCGCCTCGTTAGTGGCACGACACGCTGCGTGCTACCCTTGCTGACCTGCAGTTCTTTCCGTCCTCTGCAGACCCCTCGCTCTTCGTTCGTGCTGGCCCGACTCCGTTCTACATCCTTGTCTACGTAGACGACCTCGTCTTTGCCACAGCAGACAGGGACGCACTGGCCTCCGTGAAGGCAGAGCTGCTGAAGAGACACACCTGCACTGACCTTGGAGAACTGCGCCGTTACCTTGGCTTGCAGATCTCCAGGGACAGAGCCGCGCGCACCATCACCCTGACTCAGTCACACTTGGTGCGCCAGGTCCTTCAGAGGTTCGGCCTTCAGTTCTCCTCCGCACAGCCCACCCCTCTTCTTCTGGACCACAGACTCTCCGCTCCAGTTCCTGAGGAGTCGGTAGATCCCAGTGGTCCTTACGCTGAGCTAGTGGGTTGCCTCATGTACCTGATGACTTGCACTCGCCCAGATCTCGCATACCCTCTCAGCATCCTGACTCGTTTCGTGGCCACAGGCAGACACCGACCTCAGCACTGGTCTGCCGCTAAGAGGGTTTTGCGTTATCTTGCAAGTACATCGGGCATGGGGTTAGTGCTAGGCGGACGCAGGCCAGTGGTCCTTACTGGACACACAGACGCTTCTTGGGCAGATGACGCCGAGACGCTCAGGTCTTCCCAGGGCTACTGCTTTAGCCTTGGCTCAGGTGCTGTCTCGTGGAGAGCTACCCGCTCCTCGTCTGTTGCCCAGTCCAGCTGTGAGGCTGAGATCTACGCCGGTGCCATGGCGGCACAGGAGCTCCGCTGGCTGACCTTCTTGCTCACTGACTTAGGTGAGCGGCCTAGCTCTGCCCCGGTCTTGTACGCTGACAACAGGGCCATGATCCTCCTGTGTCAGGAGCCTCGACTCGAGGGTAGAGCGAAGCACATCCAGCTGCGGTACTTCCTCCTGCGCGAGCTACAGCAGCGTCGCCAGGCTCGCGTAGTACACTTGGCCTCCGGTGCCAACACATCTGATATCTTTACGAAGGCGCTTGCGCCTAAAGATCATCAGCGGCACTGTGTACAGCTTGGCCTGGTTCCTGTAGTCCCTCACTTACTCGGGCCTTGACTTTGTACTGTCCTTTATATATATGTGTACACTCAGACTGGACTTGTGTCCTCTCACAGTGGTTGGACTAGTAGTGCCGCCCTGTACTTGTTCTTGTCTTGTCTGTACTCCTTCTGACTGGTCTTTTAGACCCTTGTCTCAAAGGCTGGACTAGTAGTGCCGCCCTGAGCTGCTTTTCTAGGACATTCCCCTATGCAGTCCAGGGGGTGTGTCAAACATGTTTATTGATCATGTTTGTATAGACTGTATAGGGTAACCTCCTAGAGGGTACAACATTTAGGTATATGTGCATGTACTCTCTAACTCTATGATCATTCAATTCTAGTTTTTTTAGATACTGAACTAGAACCTACACACCTATTGCTTCGCCTCACAAACTACGCTTGCTTACCGGACGAGATTCTGCAAACGCATTATTCGCAAGCTACATATAGTCAAGCACGCTCTCAGCATCCCCTCCGCCAAGGAATGAGAAAATATCGTGAGACTTGCCAGCGGTAGAACCCGACACCCCGGACAGCAATTGACACCACGAAACCCCACCAAAACTGGGAGAATCTGGAGGACCGCTGTGGCCAGTCGAAGTGGGCACTAATTGTTCACATGGCACATCACCAAATGGCCACTTGAGCTTCCTCCTTTTCGCCTTGTCCCCATTCCCACTCGATGCATGACTCTTGCCAGATCCAGCATTGTTCTCCCCAGCACACGTGCTCCGCATGCATGGTGTCAGCCTCGTGTCAGCAGCAGCAGCAGCAGCAGCAGCAGCAGGCATTGGCGACACCACGAGTGTGTTGAGGGACAGTACAGAGTCAGCAGGCCGAGAAGGTGTCAGTTGAGAGAGTCTCGGTGCCATGGGCTCAATCTGCTGCTTCGCAATTGGCCTGCTTTCCAGGGTGCACGCCTCACAGTCAGGCGTCTGCCTTTTGAAGTGTTGCTCGGGTACTTGAGTTATAGAACCAGGAGCATCACACAGTAGCGAGATTGGCGACTCGAAGAAGCCTGGATTCAGTCCTGGTAAATGGCTTCGATGCGACAGAGGGGGCTCATTCTCATGCTGTTTCTGAGCAGACATAATAACAGAGTCTGTCAGGGGCAATGCAGAGTTGAGCCGGGAGGAATGCTGGGTCAGCAAGGGGTTCGAGTCGGGGTTCAGGGTCAACACCCCAGATGACGTACAGGGTGCGTGAAGCATGTGGCCTCGATCAGGCGTAGAAACAGTGGGCTGCAGCAGGTCGAGACTTGACACAGTGGGAGAGACCACCCGAGCAGCTGAGGGCAAAGGCGGGAGCGGCTCGACACAGAAAGCGGTCTCATGGGTCTGTGGTGAGAGGGGAGCGCTGGGAGGCGAGGGCGGAACCTCCAGAGGCGAGACAGGCGAGTCAAAAGCATGAACAGTCTCCATATGTGGCACCTGGGTGCCTCCAGCGTCAGTCATAGCTCGCTGTGCTCTGCTTGGCTTATTCTCTGCATCACTGCAGCCAGATGGTGGCCCCTGGAACGCAGACTCATTCGCTGCCTCCGCATCGCCTTGGGCCGTTCGAGCTGCAGTAACAGCTCTTGCTCGTTGTGTTCTGCTTGGCTCAGCATCCACACCACTGCGGCCGGATGGGGTCGCTGAGCCTCCGCTCTCCCCCGCATTGCCGTGGCAGTTGGGAGCCACCACTGCAAGAATAAGCTCATGTCCCTCCGCGCTGCCCGAGCCCTCCTGCTGCCGCACGTGCAGTGGCATGGGGTGCAGCGGCTGGCGGTGCGTGTGACCACTGCTTCTAGTGGCTGAGGTGGGCTGACGCCTGCTCTGCTCTCTCCCCTCTGCGTTACTGGAGCCCTCCAATTGCAGCAGTGGGCTGCGTAGCGGCTGGCAGCGCAAGCGGCAGCCGCCGCTGTACGCGACGGAGACGGTGGCAGGGGAGACGGGGGGGCACACGACCGCGTCATCCCCCACCGCATTGCTGATACCCTCCTGCCGCAGGTGCAGCAGCTGGGGGTGCGTGTGGCAGCCGCCGCTGTACGAGACGGAGACGTTGGCGGGGGGGACGGGCTGCATCACACTCTGCTCATTCGCCTCCTGTTGCGGCAGGTGCAGGGGCTGGGGGCGCAGCGGCTGGGGATGCGTGTGGCAGCCGCCGCTGTACGAGACAGAGATGCTGGCGGGGGAGACGGGGGGCCGCATGTCGGTGTCCACGACCTTCTTGACGGGGCAGGCGGCGCTGCGGTGAGAGGCGCAGCGATAGTAGCACCTGGAGATAGTAGCAGGGGGAGATGAGGGGGGAATCCGGGGAATTTCATCACTACGACCACAAGAGGGGCGGGGGAGATGGGGGGGCGCGTGTCGGTGTCTACAACCCTCTTGACTGGGCAGGCGGCGGCGCTGCGGTGAGCGGCGCAGCGATAGTAGCACCTGGTAGGGGTGGGAGGGACGGGAAAAGGAACTAGATGATATTTAGATACCGGCGAAATAACCCTCAAAATACGAGGGCAGGAGCGTGCCTGGCAATATGCCGCTGCCGCAACAGCTGCAGGTGGCCGTATTTCAATAAAGCCCCCGCAGCCAGAGCCGATTGCCGAGTAGGAGCACGAGAAACCCTCAGAGATCAGACGCAGGAGCATACCTGATGATATGCCGCTGCCGGGAAAGCTGCTTCTGGCCGTATTTCAGCCAGCAGTGCCCGTCGGAGCCCCTCATCGTCAGCGCCATCTCCTCCAACGCCCCGCGGGAACTCTCCCACTGACCCGCCGCCGCCACAGTGTGACCCACAGTCGCACTCGCAGCCGCAGTCGCAGTCGCAGTCCCGGCGGGGCAGCCCGGCGTCACTATTGGCTGTGGCCTCTGCGGTGCAGAGCAACTGCTGTGGGGGGTGTGCTCGGAAATCTCCTCCGGGGGGTGTGAGGCACTCATCGGCCATGCGCCTGCCGCCATGATGATCCTTGGCTCGACTCCAAACATGATCCTCGGCCCAAGAATTAAGCTTACTACTAGTAGTAGAGTCGGCGAAGGAGCTTCTTGGCTTCTTAAAAGAGCCTCTTAAGCCTCTTACAAAGGTTCTTGCAAAGCTGCTTGAAGAGATTCCGGGCACATAGAGCCCACTGCTGCGAGCCTACTGCTGCGGCGACCAAGAGAGGGAAAACTTTTCCCTCTTGCGCAAAGTCAACTGTAAACGGGTCCTAGCCTTCGAGGAGTGTAAAAACCACTGAAACTGAAAGCATGTGAATCAAGTGTAAGAATGAGACACGGCTGCCATGCAAGCGACGCCACGACCAGCTGGGGCCCGAGTTACCGCTCCATCCGGGTTGGACGGTTTCAAACCACCGGTTTCTGAAAACAGCCGCGTTTTTTAGTCGACTCAAAATACGAGTCGACTCAAAATACAACAGCCGCGTTTTTGAGCCGACTCAAAAGCCAGCTGGGGCCGCAGAGTTGGTCCATCCAGGATGGACAGCGACAAACCGTCGATTTCTGAAAACAGCCGCGTGCTCGAATAGGTCCCCTGCACGGTACGGTAGCCATTCGGCACGAACCGCGTTACTAACTGTAGCCGCTGGCAGGAACGAGAGACCGAAACTTCGACCGCAAGCAACTGGTCTCGGATGCACGCCTGTGCGTTTGTTTTTCTCGGAAATTCGGGATCCCGGATGCCTCGGATCTGAGGCTCCGGCCCTGGGGTACCTTACGTTCCAAGCGGATCGCACTGTACCGCGTACAAACATGACACGCGGACCAGATGCAACGCACCTTTCGCGGCGCACAAGGCAGATCGCACGGCGCGGCGGAAAACTGGACCTTTCGACTGGCTTGGCACTACAGTGCGTACTGCCTGTGAGGTGATAAGATAAGTCCGAAAAAAATTAACCCTTTTCGATCGCGACGATTGGGGCGTATGCAGCAATCGTGCCATCGCCTTTTCTACCAATAGGACGCGCGACGACTCCTAAAAAGGAGAGATGTGACGTGGCATCATGAGCTAAGAGCCAGGGATTGCCTCAGCCAGGGTCGCGGCTGGGGATCCTCCTGCAGGTTGCTCCCGTGCCTGGACTATGGGCCATCTTTCAAGGCGTCGCGAGTGAAACTGACAGACCACCCGCAACTAAATATTAATCGACGGGCGGAATAAATTAACTGTACGCAAACCACGCGAGACGTGTGTGCCTTTACAACTTCTGTGCTTGCTCTGAAACCATGACTCATGAGCCTTCTGTATCTGTTTCCCCGTTTTGGTTCGCCTTGCCCGTTTTTCAGGTTGAATTTCCTGATGTTCGATTTCTTCAAGGGCCGGATCTTATAGGAAAAACAGTATTTACAGACTGTACGGTGTAAGTGTGGCTTGAAGGACTGCACGATTTCACTGAGCGGCTGCGATATAATTGGTCTACTGTACTGATTTCTATTTCTGGGCAGACGAAAGGTGATCCCGGACTTTGTGGACACAGGGAGACCGTGTGGCCGAGCCATGGCAGCCCTCGCCACGGTGGCTCCAGCTGCCTGCCTACGTGTTGCTTTATCTGGAAGGAGAAACCACGCCAGATTCAGCATGTATGCTCTTAGAGAGAATAGAGGGAAATGCTGTACGTCACTGTGGCACATTAGTACTTTGAGTTGTAGCTATAAAATGCTGGTTGCATTTTACCTTTTAATGTAGTATGTGATGTGATGGAGTGTTTCAACGCATACCATGCAAGAAGAACGTCCACGGAGTACCATGGACAGGCTAACTGAACTCCATCTCTAAACAAAAACTCACTTATAAAACCCCAAGGTTTCAAGTGAGCTAAGAAACTTTGCTAAGATGCTGCAAGTGGTTTAGTCAACCATCGAAGGCAAATGTCGAATCTACTATAACGAGCACAAATGAGCATTATTTGTTCACCGCCAAATGCGCCAGTTGTTCACAGCACAGCATGATGAGCATTATGCGCCCAACCCTGTATTACTCAGGTGCTCGCTCCGCAACTTGCGGAGAACGAAGTGAAAATGAAAACCAGACGCGTTGCTCCATAGGGAGATTCAGCACCGCAAGGGAGACTCACATTATTCTTCCCTTGACGCCCCGAAACCTCCTCTGCCACCTACCCCTCCACAACTTCGCTCGTCCTCTCCCCTTGCTCTCACGGCGGATTCCAATCCTGTTTATCTTTAGATCATGCCCTCCGCGCCCTATGCTGATTATTCTGCGCAACGCCAGAGCAGCCCATGGCTTGCATGATTCCGCCGGCAGCCGTTTCGTTGACGGATCTTAACGTGACCAAAAAGTGACAGTCCCAAAAGTGACCCGTAAGCATGCAGTCCGAAAACTGTCCGAACCCTGCCTGGAAACAACCCCCATCCCCTCAAATTTCCCATGCTCCAAACCACCCCCCGAAAAGTGGCCAGCCCATGTCCCGAACCAGCCCAAGCTCACAGGAGGTTGGGCCACTTTCGAGAGACATAAGGCTAGGGAGAGCTGGCCCGAGCTGCCAGTGGCTGATCGAACGGCTGAAACTCCAAACTTTTCGTAAAAAATCACATTACCGTTGATCGGAATATCTCCGCCATATGCCGTCGGATCTGCTCGACAATGATCTAACGGTATGAAATTCACTTATCGTTCATGTAACATTTCTTTTACGAAACGCTACCATTTCGCCTAGCGACGGAACATCCTACGGTTCCCAAGTCTCCAACCAAGCTTATCCACACCTCAGATCAAACCCTAGACTACTTACAAACTGCCACGTCATCTGCCCAAACCTCGCTCTCCCAAACCAGGCCAAACCCATGCTTCACCTCTGTCTTGTCCTTCGTCCCCCTACTCCCAGCATCATTTCTGACTCGCTCTTCGACATTTCAGATCTTAGCTTGTACCACCATTACTGCCATTACCACGATTACCCCCACTACAACCATTACCGTCATTATCACAATCACTCCCGATTTCACGATTTCTTTTTGCAAGGCGCTATTTCTAATGGCGTAGGCCTCGTCGTAGCTCATCGTTTCTGTTGTGTTTTGTTTTTTTTTTGTTTTTTTGTTTTTTTGTTTTTTTTTTTTCCCCCTGGTTTGATCTGCGCAGACCTGCTATCGCGCGGCTGCCTATTTCTTCGACAGCTGCATCCGTCGAGGTACGTCGTTGCATTTATTGGAGGTAACACGGTGCCCCCCCCCCCCCTTTCTTCTTCTTCTTCTTCTTCTTCTTCTTCTTCTTCTTCTTCTTCTTCTTCTTCTTCTTCTTCTTCTTCTTCTTCTTCTTCTTCTTCTTCTTCTTCTTCTTCTTCTTCTTCTTCTTCTTCTTCTTCTTCTTCTTCTTCTTCTTCTTCTTCTTCTTCTTCTTCTTCTTCTTCTTCTTCTTCTTCTTCTTCTTCTTCTTCTTCTTCTTCTTCTTCTTCTTCTTCTTCTTCTTCTTCTTCTTCTTCTTCTTCTTCTTCTAATCTTTTTTTCTTCTTCTTCTTTCTTTCTTTTCCCACGCAGTTAACCACGTGATTCTTTAGCGTCGCGCTGTATTCCTAGTCTCGCGCACTAATGGATTGGCGTTAAGCTAGCGCTATTTCATCGTGCCCTCCTTTGTGGTTCTAATCTTACCGTCGAATGCGCATCTGCGCTTATGCTTCGACGAGCCCCCTTTTTTTTTATGGGGTTCACATTTCCACTCTCATGGCGACGACCGAGCCCCGTTCATTGCTGCCCATGCTCCAGAGTCCCCTTATTATGCAGGAAAAATGCCAGGAACGATGCCATTTTATTTAAAGGTTTGCCTTTTCCCCTTGTATTTGAGTTTCTAGTATTACAATTTTCACCGCATTTTCTCATTTGATATTTGCTTTCTCTTATATCTAATGCACTGCTATCAATGACGCATCTTTGGGTTGCAGATTGAGATTTCCTTTAGTTGCAATAAGGCCAAATTTTCTTGCTAGTTTGCTAGTGTGGATTTATTTCGGTTGTTTGCAGTAGGTTGACATTTCTAATGTATGACATGATATGATTGAAATGTTTCATTGTAGCGCAACAATTGTGCATCCCATCAAGCACCAACAGCAAGGATTTTTCCAACAGCTGTGTTACTCTTCAGATTCTGTAGGGGCTGTTGTGGGACACTTGTCAATCCGACAACCACCCCAAAAACGTCCCATTTCGCCCCCACAAACATCATACCTTCATTCAGAAATCTGTCAGAACCTAGATTCCAGAAAGACACCTGTTTTCGTCCGAAATGTCACATTTCGGGCAGATTCGGGACAACTCATTTTGGTGATGAAGTTGCATCGAGATGCGACTCGACTGCCGTCTTTGCATGATTATCCCGACGCTCTTGCGAGCGCTGTCCATACTGGCAAATTACCCAGCTCATACCAGTATTTAAGCGCTAGTATCCCAAACATTAAGCTCATCAATCCTGTTGGCAGTACTACTTTTAATCACCTCCTTGGCTCTCCATACGTCCAAGATAACGCCTCCCAACAACTTTTCACTTCACGAATCGTCACGTGCATACGTAAGAGATACCGAGCGCAATCCCTTTTGCCATCATGGCTCTCCGCCACCTCTTTCTCATCGCGCTTCTTGCGGTCTTCGCGCTGAGCCTCTCCGCGGCCTCCGTGCACCGCATCCTGCTCGATGCATCCATTGATCCGACAACTCTCCGCAACCTACGCAGCAGCAGCGATGATGATAGCCTCTCTACTTCTACGACGAGGACCAGTCCGGCTCCTAGCGGATGCAGACACGCTTTGGCCGGTTAGCCGCCGAAGCTGTCGCAGCGGGTGCGTGCGGGCGCAAAGGGAGGCAGTGCTCTTTAGAAGATGCGCGCTAAGCCGGAAGAGATAGCGAAAAACTCTATGAAATGGCTGTCTCCAGGCCGAGGCGGCTAGCGCCGGCATTATAATGGCGGCTAACACTAAGATCCCTTACAACGGAACCGCAGTCAAATATGCGGTGAAGGCCGGTCAGCAGATGAGTCAGGGGAAGAAAACGAAGGAGTTGGAGGGCTTAGCAAGGGCAGGGGGAGTTAGTCTCGGACAGGGGAGTTGTAGAGGGATGGGCAGACGAGGGATGAACAGAATGTGGGTATGGTGGGGAGTGGGATCAGGGCAGGGGTCACGCTAAGGTTTTTTGGAACTCTGTTTCTCCCAGATTCCGCACCCCCCTGCGTCCTGATTCGTCTGGATTTCAGGGCAGTTGATTTCTGTTTCATCCGGATTCAGGTACAAAGTTACTTTTAGCCGAGTTACAGCAAACATTGACTCGAACATGTCACGATGTTCAAGGTCCAAGCAGGGTAACATTTGCGACGTGCCAAGAAAAGAGAGTACTTTTGGGCTTACTATGTTAAGAGTGTTTATTATTCCACTAGTTTTCTGTCAAACCCGCTCTTAGGGTAGAATCTGTGTCAGCAACCTTCGCAACTTTCCGGGTTGCGGGAAGGGGGAGGAGGGGAACGTGACTAAACGTTTTTAGCCAAATCTTCCTAGGGCTGTAGGAGGAATTTGCCAGTCTGTGAGGGATGCCAAATATTCTAGGTTTAGGGTGGTCGGGGTGGGAGGAGTATCTCTCTGTTAGGGAGACTTAGCCAAATTCTCTATGTTGTCTGGGTAAAATCAGGAATGTTCTTGCAATGATGGCTAGCCGAATATTCTAAGTTTCGTGTGTGTGGGTAGAAGACTATCTCTGTTTGGGAGGAACTTAGCCAAATTCCTCTATGGTCGAGGAAGGAATGTTCCTGGCTGTGACGGACTTAGCCAAAAATTATGGGTTTCGGGTGGTGCGGGTGGGGGGAGCACGGTATGTCTGTGTGTGGGCTTCGCCATTTTTTCTTGGTTACGGGGTGAAGGAAGGAATGCTGCTGGAAGTTGGGGACTTCGCTGAATTTTCTGAGTTGTGCGGGTGTGGGAGGAATTATAACTGTGTGTGAGGGACTTCGCCGAATTTCCTGGGTTCGGGGGCTCCGTGGAATTGTTTCTGAAAGTTGGGGACTTCGCCGCAAAAATGTCCCTGCCACCCTGGGTGCGAGGAGTGGGGGAGAGGGGGGGGGGGGGGGGGGTACTTTTTGGCAGTTGCAGCCGGATTGCCCCCCAAGCAAATTCTGATCTGCGCGGAGCCCCCTGCAACACCACTTCTATAAATTCCGGAAACCCTGATAACTCTACCCGTTCAAATTCCGGAACGAGCCCAGCGCCAACTCTGAATGTTTTTTTCATTCAGGGTAATTACCCTTGAAAAATAGGCTCTGGATCAGGGGCGGGTAGGGAAGTGGGATAGGGTTAGCTTAGGGTCGGGGGTGGCAGTGGGAGGGAAGGGACGGGTTCGCTTCGCATGCTTTTATGTTTGCTATTAGATCGTGGTGGTGTAATGGTAGTTGTGCTCGGCTGGACTTCAATATACAAAACCCAATTTTTTGCCGTTATGCATGGAGACCATCAGGCAGATGATTATTCAATTGAAGCAAATGACTAATGAACCCAAAGCTACTCGTAAGTCTTCGTTTCAACACCCCAAAGACTTTCAGCTTGATCCTGCTGAGGTACGCTCTCACCCTTAGCTAAAGAAGAGACATCCCAATCCATCCCTCTCTAGCAACACTCCCAAGCCCCATGATATCAGGAAAAAAACACAGATTTCATTTTTTTCGGGGTGTTTTATTGTACCGACTCTGAAAAATCAATGTTCAAATTGGAAAAAACGGGGCCAACTAGTTAGAAAATATGCAAAAAAAAATGTAGTATTTTTTTTACAGATTGTGATTCGACTAGAAGAGGATTTTGCTGTAAAGGAGACAAACTCCTTCATCTATCGGTAGGTCCTTCAGACCTGCCACCTAGTTTCATTTGCATTTTCTGTTCCAACTTGTATACCACCAGCACACTCTAAACCTCTCTTATGCCCAGATATGGGCATAGGAGTCTCTTGTTGCAAGACGCTCTTTCTGTTAGATATTGTACGATGGTCAGCAGACTAATTTCAGCTGCAAGTGGTAGGCCTCCTGCTCCTCACATGAATTCTAGGAGTGGTGGAAGGTATGGGTCCCCCGTACGTGAGGGGGAGCGCCCGCTTCCACAACCTGCATTTGTACGACATGGTCATGTACATGGATGCTAGCGACCATGCTTGGGGGGCTTGTTATTCGGCGCCGGATGGTCATGTCGGCTCGCTCTCCTCCCCGCTGCCTCTAGCCCTCTTGGGCTCGTCCAATACCCTTCGTGAGCTGTCCGGAATTGTATGGTCCCTTTTGGCCTTTTCTGCCGAAGTACGTCTTGCTCCGCAGCGACAGTCAGGCGGCCTACTATATCCTCTAAAAGGGAGGCTCTCGCCGTCCCGAGCTTACCTTCACATGCTGCATGATTATTCAATTGTGCGTGCGCCATATGATTCCTCTTATGGTCCAATGGATTCCCCGCGAGCTGAATACTGAGGCTAGCGCTCTGTCCAAGATTGAGCTTCACAACGACTACTCCTTGACCCGGCCTTGGTTCCTGCTGGTAGAGAGGCATTTGGGGCCTCATACAATCGACTTGTTCGCATCCCCTGCCAATGCGCAGCTTGCTCGTTTCTACTCCATCGAGTTCTCACACTCTGCCGTTGCGCAAGACACCTTTTCTATGAACTGGGGACACGAGAATTGCTTTGCCTTTCCTCCACCCGCCCTCATCCCGGCTGTCCTAGCTCATGCCCGACGCTCGCGCACTTCTCTCACTCTCGTGATCCCATATTGGCCCAGTGCCTTTTGGTGGCCTTAGCTTAGCCTGGACGGCTTCACTTGGGGCCCGGAGGTTGTTATGGCCATTCCCCTTACCCTTGGTTATAGATTTTTACGTGTTGGTAGTGACCGTTACGCCTTTAGCGGCGCCGGTCTTCCAAACTCTCCGATGTAGGCACTTCGTTTTGCATTCAATTAATGTATATTTTACTTCACTACACAGGCTCATATATTGGTCGATTATTGTCGGACCTTCTCATGCTCATCGTCGATCTTCGGGCAAAGTCTACCCTTCGCACTTACGAACCCTATTGGTGACAGATTCGAGCATTCTATTTGGAGCACTCTCTTCCCTTCCTTCCCGCCACCGACGTGATAGCAACCCTCTTGCTGTTCCTGCGCTCGCTCGCCCTGTCTGGGATTCTCGTGATGCTGAAGAGCAGCTCACCATTAGTCATGTGCTTCCCCTGTCTCAGCATCCGCGCTTCACTGCTGTCACAAACGCCAAAGAATTCCTAGATGCAGTAGTTGCACGCTACTCTACCCCTGCCTCTGCTTCCGTTGGTTGCTTGATCCTCCCCATGCTCTTCCCCGTACTTTCCGCCTTTCCCACTATCGCTGACTTCACCTCTACCCGCCGCCTTGACTATGCCACCGCTCTGGTCTCTGACCCTGTCTGTCCTCCGTCCGTCGGGGGTGCTCCTGCCCTTGGCAGTGACGTCCTAGAGGACAGGCAGTACGAGCTTGCTTTCTTGTCCGAGGCTGCTCCCCATCTTTGCTCCATGCTGCTAGTCCCTGGAGGTGAACCAAACGCTTTTGACATCTCGACCCCTCGCACTTACAGTACGCTGAGGCGACCTCGGGACCCTGGACCACTCAGTGGATAGCTGCCATGGAGCAGGAGATGTCATCTTGGAGATCCACCGCCACCTACGTCGATGCAGTTCCCCCACTTGGGGTGAACGTAGTCGATGGCCGGTGGCTCTTCAATGTGAAGCGCCCCCCTAGAGAGCTGCCTATATTCAAGGCGTGCTACATGGCTAGAGGCTTCAGTCAACGCGAAGGGGTGGACTTCTTTCAGACCTTCGCCCCGACCCCGAATTTGACTACTCTTCGGGCGCTACTACATGTAGCAGCATAGCGTGAATATGATCTACACTCCCTCGACTTCTCCACTGCATTTCTCCAAGGCAGTCTACACGAGCAGGTCTACCTGCGTCGTCCGCAAGGCTTTACCGGCACCTTCCCTCCTGGGACCCGGTGGCTCTTCTTGGGCACCTTCCCTCCTGGGACCCAGTGGCGCTTCTTGGGCAGACGACGTTGAGACCCTTAGGTCCTCTCAGGGCTACTGATTTAGCCATGGTTCAGGTGCCATCTCGTGGAGGTCCACTCGCTCCTCGTCTATTGCCCAACCTAGCTGTGAGGCTGAGATCTACGCCGGTGCCATGGCGTCACAGGAGCTCCGTTGGCTGACCT